TTCATTTCATAGAAATTATTGATATACATTCTTAGTAGGATGAGAAAAAAAAAACAATAATTTACGTTGACATGATTTTAGCTGCATATTCGCAGTTCTTTCAAGACAACATTGCTCAGTAGTTGAATAATTGATGATTGTAGTTGAGTTCGAAAGTTCAAATATCCGATCATTTTTTCGCTGATAAATGCTATATAATAAGTGCAGACCTTTCAAAACAATGATCAATCGCCAAGCCATAGAAATAGAAACACTTTCATGTTATTATTCTCATGGATAGATTGACTGATCGGCTTCTGACTCGTTTCTATAGCTATTCATAAAATAAAATTTTCATCTGCTTGTTTTTAAAATAGTTTATATTCTCTCAATCGTTCCTGGCTAGTGAAGAACACTTTTCACGCAATTAAGAATGATTATCGCCGAAATAACTTTGGCTTATTAATTACTGGTTTAAAAAACAGCACATCAGCTCTTTATCTATCTAGTTTAGGTTTGAGTATCGATGTAAGAGGTTGCAGTTCTATTAGAGATGATGAAATGATGCTCGCACTCTCATCATAGACAAAAAAACTTAATTTTTCTAATTAAAATAAATGACCGTGTAGTAAATAGTGTCCTGCACGAGTATCACTTTTCGCACCCGAACGCGATTCGATTCATTTTTATCAAACTCAATTACCCGACCGGATCCGAATAGATGTACCCGGCACCGGATACGATCCTATAACTTTGTACCCGGACCCCTGTGTCGGATACCCAACCCGGCTGCAAAACACTAGTAGTAAGTAGAGATTCTCGCCAGTTTAAATGATATTGTTACTGTCCTTTAATAATCGATTTCGTCAATATTTGTGTCGATCCGTTTTTTAGGATCACGATGCAACGACAAACTGGTAGAATAGCTTATCACTATCATCAGCAATGATGTTTATTCGTGATCGAACCAATAGAAAATTCAATCCTGGAATATTTTGAAGTCTCGTGAAATCTTTTTAAGTTTTTGGAGATATTTTTGGATTGTGTGAAATTTTCAATTTTTGAATATCATTGTTTTTTCTCTTTTATTTATTGAGCTAGTTCATATGTTCCGAATGTTCCTATCCCTATCACGTAAACAATGCACGTCTACATAGGAGAGAGAAAATTCATTTGTATTTTTTTTGTTCAATCTAAAATACACCGTTTATTTATATAAGTCAACAAGATTTCATCTCTCTCTCTCTATATATATATACATATATATAAGTTGTAAAATTCAATTCTGAAAATTGCAAATAAAGTGTTAAATTGATAGTAGATGAAAAATGGAATTAAAATATTTTAAAATCTCGAATAAATAATTTAATTAAAAAAAAAAGAAGCTGAAATTATGAAAACATTGAATTATGCAAATCATCTAATTCGATTTGTTTTTGTTTTAAACGTTCTTTTTGTTTTTTATATTGTTCATAATCTTGATCATCAGTTGGTAATTCAATTCTACACATAGGACATGAATTAACTAATTTAAGCCATTGAATAATACAATTTTTGCAATATTTATGATGACATGGTAATTCTATTGTTGAATCTAATTGAAATTCTTTTAAACAAATTGAACATTTTTCGTCATGACCAAAATTATTGGTTGATGGTAAATTTTCAATTATATGTTTAGCTGCTGGTGGTTGTTTTCGACCATCAACATGACCAAATATACGTTCGAATTCTAATTGAAATTCTGCACCAATTCCACTATCTAATAGTAAACGAGCTAAATCTAATAAATGATTTGGTTGTTCTCCTGTTTCTAATGGTTCACAATTATGTTCATCAAAATATGATGTCATCTAAAATAAAAATACTTTCATTTAATCAACACGATTATATTTTTATTTTCATTAAAAACTAACAACACAACGTATCATTTTTTTTTATTGATTATATTTCAATGAGTAATTTACATTCTATGATTAATAAAAATATCCAATCAGTCAATATTTAAACAATATGCGACATCTATCAATTTTATCAATATATATTATATTTAGTTACTGAAAATATAAGTTAAATTGATCTTTGCGTTTGTTTTATAATAAAAAAAAAATCAACATTAGATTTTTTTCAACATATTCACATATATTTAATATAATTTCATTAAATATCACCAAATGAGAAAACAATCGAATAAAACTGTTCTAATCAGCTGAGCGAAATATTTTCTGTCAACTGAAGAATAATTTAATATATTGAATAAATGAAAAATGTTCTAGATATAGATATCAACATAGACAAACGTCATAAAAAACTTTCTTCTAAACAATGCCTTTCTTTTTCCATATCTTTCATTTATTATAGTATATATATATAATGAATAATCCATTTGGTTCATATTCATATGTGACACTGCTATATTTTAAGTGACACATAATAAAATTAGTTCACTTTTAATTGACATTATAATGAATAGATAAGATATACCAAAAAAAAAATATTTTTCAATAAATTGATCTTTTAAAAATAAAAAAATTTTAAATATTACTTCAAAGATATAAACGAAAAGGTAGATAGAACATTTTTTAAAGCAAAATTAAATTTATAAAACAAGTTGGTTAAAAAAAAAATTGTTTTGCTTTGACTTTGAGCTAAATAAGTTTTAATAAAAATTGAATTAAGTCAAAATGAAACTTTATATATAGAATTTATTTTCAATCTATTCAATAATTTTCATCACAATTAATCAAACTTCAATTCGATTAGAATATTATTATAAGAATATATTCAGAAAGATATTCAATTTTTGTTATATCGAATTGTTTTTTAAGAATAACAAGCTGCTTTTATTTTATCAATAAATTTGTCAATATTTCTTTTTTCAGATCACTTTTCAGATAGGGATTATAATATTAAAATCAAGTATTAATTAGTTATTTACATTTATTAATCACAAAATTAATTCTATATTACTTTTTATTCGTTTACTAAAGCNTTTGTCAAAACTCTCAAAAACTCGATTTTTAGGTGAAACGGTTTTCTGGAAAACTCTCTTCACTAAGTTTCTTTAGAAATTCTGGCTCATACTATATTCGATAGAGATTTTCAAGGGCTTTCCAAATCACTATTTAGATTTTACCTAGCTGTTCGTTTTTGTGGAAAAACTTCAAAAATAAAAGGGGTCTTATAATTTTGGGACGCCCTGTATATAGCTTTAATAAGCGATGCGCTCTCATAACCAGATATATTCTTGTTTTTGGTCATGAACAAGCTTGTGCAATAGACCAAATATTTGGTCATGATTCATTTTCACAAGCAACCTTAATTTTATTGACTTTTCTTCAGTAATTATTCTACAGTTTTTCAGGAATTCATCAATTTTCGACAATACTAGTTCCGACAAAATCTTTAAAATCTGGTTCTAATACAGAATTCAGTTTTTTCAATTCTGACTTCTGTAGACCTATCAAAATTTATTCGAAAAATGGTAACCTGCCTTTTATTTTGGATCGAATAATAGTTTCATATATTTATTATTGTACTCTCGAATAATATAAGATAGTTAATAAAGAACAAATTTCATGATTATAGTTTTGTATAAGAATCATCATGTACCAACTTGATTTGCTTAGTTTGATAAAATGGTTTTGATGATCTATATGAACAAAAATTTAATCCAAATAAATAAAACATGGTTAAAAAAAATAGTTAGAATTTACTTACTGTTTGATTTCTGACAGCAAACATTGCATCATCGTTGGTTCGTTTAACACGATAGATACATATTTGTTAGTAGAACTATCATCTCTTGTCGTTTTTAAATAAATATTAAAATCTGTATAATAAAACAAACAAACAAAAATATATTTGAAGAAAAAGAAGAATAAAATGGATTGACCTGTTCTAAACAATGTTTGTGAATGACTAAGAAGTCGAAGACAAAAATTATAGATTGAAAGATCACTTGTTAAAGTTGCATATGGTGAAAAAAGAGTGACTGAAATGAAAAAAAGTAAATAAAATAAATCAATTAAAAGAACTAAAAAAGTTGATCACAATAGAAGTTAGTTCGCTGTATCATGAGACTCATGTTTGAGTACATCAATGGTAAAGATTTCAAATGATTAATTAGTTTTGTTAGAGTCGTTTTCGATAATTGAATATCACCCATGACAATCTTTGCACCAATACGCCAGCTGATGTATAGAGAATAGCAGACATGATGGAAAATTCAAATAAATAATATTATACCTTGATAAATTTGCATCATTCGAACAGATGCACTTGTAGAAACTAATATCAATCAATGGTGTTCGTTGAAGAATATATAGTCGTTTTTTTTCTATCAAGAAGAATAAATCAATTATTTGTCTTCATATCTAAGTTAAGAAAAAAATACTTGAGTGCGTATAAACTATTCGTAGATCGCTCAATTCCAATTTGTATTTTGCATAGAATTGTTGTTCTTTAGAGTTTTCCTTTAATACAAGAAAAACAAAATTAAACAACGAGGTCATACTCCACGAAGAATTTCGGGAAAAGTTAGTGAATATATATTGAAATAATAATATGTACTTTAAATAAAGATCTATCAATATTGTCATCATTATCATCAAGACATGATTTTAACATCATATTACCAAAATTAATACGGATCATTGAAAAATCTCTATATAATAAAATAGTCTTAGGAAATGAAATAAAAATTTATTTACGGTTGATAGACGCCGCATTCTGGTAAAAGAACTGATCCTCCTTTCAAATTTATGGTTATATCCAAGATTTTCTTAAATGATATCATCTGTTCCATTTCCATAATTGTGTGTTCGATTATTCTAAATATGAAAGATGAATCACTTATACTCTTGACTACGACAGATCAACGAACTTTGGTACTGATGGCCACATAATGTCGTCATTAGCTTCAAAACACTCAATAAGTTGATTAATCGTCGGCTATAAAATTAAAAAAAAATAATTTGTAGTTATTTTATAGTTCGAACTGAAAGAAATAGGAACTGTCTTTAGTTATCTGAAAAATATGGTTTAATGGGTTGATTTATTGCCAATATTAAATATATTTTCTTTTTACTCACAGCATCATAGATAAATTCAAATGGTTCCATAATCAAATTAAGACGATTGTCTGATTTTGGATTTGCGGTAAACAATTCAAATTCGACATGTACCATTGGAGACGATGATGACAGGAGTGGTTTAACCAATATAGGTCGATATTGGTTATCACGGTTTATACCAAATATGTGAATAGATTGCAGTTCAATCACACATCTTAATAATAAGAACAACAAGATGAACAAACAATAGATTAAGGAAATATTTTAATTTACTCGCGTCTCGATGTAATGCTCATTTTCTTTAAGTTCGTCCAAGCTTCGGTTATGCTGATGCAAGCAAGTATTTCTTTATTGGCTCTATTGGCCATTAATCTAAATGAATAATAAATGTACAGAGAAATAATTAAGTTTAGATATGTGCACAATCAAATCTTTTTGTTTTATTCTAGTCTTAGACTCGCATAAATTTAAGTGAGATAAAGTCATTTGACAAAATACCTGGTATTTGTAGCTGGTGATAGGATGTTTATATTTATTTGATTGATATTTATTTCAGCGTCTATCTTGGGCAACTGCAACAAGTAAATAGAACAAAACATTATGTTATTGTATGAGAAATTTCAAAATAGATATCGAAACAACTTACATCGTCAAATAAGAATTCTCTTTCACTTGGAATATTTGTTGTTGTAGTTGTTGCTTTCGTGTTCCGATGAGCTTTAAAGGTCATATTGAATTAGATTATCATTGATCAATCTTTTAGAATTTTTTAGAAGATATGAATTCTAAGAAACTCATTTTTTTTCTTCTATAATAAAATTATTTCGAACTCTTTACTCTGAATGATTAAAGATCATTTAAGTGTCATATTCTGTGAAAAAAGTCTTCATCATATATTGACTCGAACATAATAAATATTAACATATGCTGAATTTAGTTAACTTTTTTGGGTTTAAAAATATTTATTAATTTTCTATAATATCAACTTTATTTATGAAGAAAAATCATTAATTAGAACTAATGAAAAAAGATTCATTTTCTTATTTTCTTAAAAATCGATAAAGTTTTTTTTTTATGATAAAAGTGTTGTAGCTGATCAGTTCCTCTTGTATTATTAATAATACATACTTTTAGTTAAATGATTGAATCTATGTTTTATTTTGACCAACGGATGTAATCGGTGGTGATAACTATGTCTTTTAATATTTGGATTAGAAATGTGGACTGGCGTTTGATCCGTTTGTATTTGCCGTGCTTCATCAATATCATTTGTTTCTATGCTCGAAGAGAAACGATCACTTTCTATTTCAACTTTATGACGAATATAAGCCAGATGGAAAATGTCCAATTTTGATTCAAGAAACTTTTATATCAAAGCAACAATTATATTATACTGTAGTTGGTAATTAAGAATTACCTGAATGCGTTGTTTTTGTTCTTGTGTCAATGGTTCGCTACCTAACGATTCTTGCAATAGTAGTTGATGATACTCATGACATCGATCTTTAAAAGAAACCATATGAATATTCATAATGACGCTAAAATAAATAAATGATCATAACTATACCATAGGTTTTAGTGTAATCTTGAAATTTAACAAAATCGAGTAAATCAGATATTTGTTCTGAGTCAATGTGAAAATTGATTTTTGGAATTTGAAAATTAAAAATCAATGTCGATCGTTCGTAATGATGTTGTTTAGGTTTTAATGTAATCCATGATTCAGTGATAAGATTTGAAGGACGAAGAACTGTTGAAGAAGAATCAAAGAAAATAGATATTTGTCATATTTTACATAGAAATATCGAATAGAATACAAACTATATTTCATATCATCGTCATCTGGTACATAATCATTCCTTGCTATTTTTGATTTAAGACCACCCTAGAATGATTTACTTTTTGATCACAAATTTTATTTGATAACATAAAAAAAATTTAGACCTCGTTTCTATTCAATTCGAATATGTTTGAAAACTCTAATAAAATTAAATTAAGTCAATCTATATGATGAAAATATATTTTTTTTTGCAGACAAAAATCTGAAAGACTGCCAAAATGTTTTTCACAATTTTGTTATGACAGATATTAACAACACTGTGGTCGCAATCTAGTAGGACATACTAATAGGAAAAAAAAACAAGATTTTAGAAGTAAATATAATAATGCCATTACTCGATATAAAAACAACTTTTCAATTCATTACGTAAGTTTTTATTGTTACACAATTGTTTCTATAGTTGAAAAATGACATTCAAACTATTGATCAGTTCTAAAAAATTTCACAACTATATTTTTGACTTTCAGATATCTCATTTAACAAATAATGAAAACAAATTTCTCCGGATGATGATAAATATTCTCATAGATTATTTTAGTTTCATGTCACAAACAATTCAAATTCTCACCATAACATCGTTGAATGGCATCTCAAGTCTTGATTTACATTTTGTATTCCAATAGATTGACAATGAATTCATTTCGTTGATCTAAAATAATTTACATAATGATTTATCGGCAATGAAAAAACAAAAACACAATTTCAACAAACCCTATAAGTAAGAGACGTATCTTCTTTAGTTCGTTTAGTGAACTTCATATTGTTTTCTGTCTAAATAATTATATTTTAGCTTTTAAAAAATTACAAATATCGAATAGATTACTACCGTCAAATTTAGATAATGAAGAGTGATGCCAAACGAAAATGGATGTCCCAATTTGGTTGGTGATTTCATTTCATAGCTAATATGTATATTTCGAATTGTTAAAATCATATTTCGCATGACTTGAAATTTCATTCTTTCGACAAATACCAATTCCTTATTGTCAAGTACTCCATTTTCTGTTAAATTATTTGTATAAAAAAATAACAAGAATTCTACTACTAACCCGATGCAACTTTTCGTAAATTTTCCAATTTTTGTTGAACTCGTTTTGATTTCTCTGCATAATGTTCGCTTAAATCTTGACTCATTTCTATTTTAATAAAAAAATTAGTTTTATTCAATTTGAAAATGTTATATTATTATGTTCAATATTCAGTCTCTTGATAATATGAATCACAATACTCAATAGAATTGACTGAAAAGAATCAGCAGTAAATCTGATATGAAATGAAATATTTTTCTTGTCTGTTATTCTCACATACGTACGAACAGACTTGAAAAGAGAAATATTTCAAATGTTTATTCGCTTTTCAGCTGACATTTTTGCCATTAGGTAGAGCTTGATACGACGAAGAAAATTTAAAAATATATGTGCTCATTACCTGTCGGTCAAATGTTATAATCGTTTTACTAAATATTCGGTCTAGCACAAACAATCTATCAGAAATTCAAATGAACAAATTTTGATTGGAAATTTTTTTCACAAACAGCTCTAGCAATTCCTATTGTATATCAGAATTTTCAGGAGAAATAGATTCTTTCTTTATATGATATTAAAAAACATCTCTTTCCATTGAAAATTTTGAAATATGCGAGAAATTATTAAATCTCGTTTTGAAAAAAATTTAGTAAATCAGTCACAAAAATTGACGAACAGCTCATGGCAACGAACATTTTCTTCATACAATATCAAAAAAATGAATTAGTCATAGTATTTTGCTTCGTGTCATTTATAGGGTGTACCAAAATTATAAGACCCCTTTTATTTTTGAAGTTTTTCCACAAAAACGGACAGCTAGGTAAAATCTAAATAGTGATTTGGAAAGCCCTTGAAAATCTCTATCGAATATAGTATGAGCCAGAATTTCTAAANAAAAGTACTAAACGAATCATATACCTCAAGAAAGAGCAAATTTTTGCCTTCATTTCTTCTTGGTTTTTCTTAGCGCAGAATTTCCTCAGGAGTCATCTCCTTAAAGGACTTGAGTTGAGTCTAATTTAATAGCAGACTATTTGCACTTTAACAGAAGAATTTTTTAAGCAATATTTTCAGAACTAAATTATTTTGTTCCTTCAAAGCACATCTTCTATCCATCACGTAGATCTAATTATTCCTTAGTAGAGTATACATTTACATGATTAATTAAATAACAGACTAAAATAAATCAGTTAATTCAATTAATGTATCCTCTCCTTTATATGCGACGAACTGCTTGCAACGCATTGTCATTGAGACGAATTGTCTTGCGACGAATTGAGCTGTCATCTTTCAAAACGTTTTCCAAGTAATCATGCAAAAAATGTTGACGCGTTTTTCGCAATATTGTTTTTTGCATAAACTGTCGCATTTCGACCAAATTTCTTCTGAATAATGTTTGTTCTAGAGAGCTGCGGTTTTTTCTATTGAATATATAGATGTACTCTCTTTCGGACGAGAGGAAAGGATTTTGTATTCGACATTCCGAATCGGAGTAAATATGGGTTCTATAGAAAATCCTACCTAGGATTTGTGCAGTTTTAAGATTTTGAGGGTTCCCAAAATGCAATAAAATAAAACTTTGAAATTTCTTTTACTCAACCAAAAGGTAAAGCCTTCTATTTCAAATAAAATAATCCTAAGTTCTATACCTTGATGTATAATGGAAAAAATCTGTACGGGTCGAGAGTCCATTTTGGCCTTGATCTCTATAAAACTTTTGGACGCTGATGTTTGGAGAATTAGCAAAAACTTCGTAAGTATATTTTTATAGGCCTAGTATTTGTGGAATGCTTCAGAGAGATCCTGCGTATTTTGTCCAAAATCGATTTTGCCGGTGAAGGACTAGTTGAGCAGAAATTATGGTGAGTTCTGAACTCTGTCGTTGATAAAGTATTTTTGTAGGATCTTTTTCTGAAATTTGAACTTTCACGAGCGAAATTTACAATTTTAGAAATTTTGAATACTACTAAGAAGTCTATGGAAGTTGAAACACAAACTAGATAGTGGTAGGATCAGAGTCAAAATGAGTGGGGATGTGGATGAGTCTTCTTTGCATGTGCATCCTCGAAATTCGACTGTATGTTCGTATTGTCTATGACACTTTAAACAATCTGATTTGGTTAGAAACAATATTATATCGAGACGAATAGGTTTGACGCATGAAAACCAAAAATAAGAATTTAAATTGTTTGACAACTTATAACATTTCCATATTCTTTTGTAAGACTCATGGTTCAATATTTATCTATGTCGCAATGTATCATGAAATTTCTTTTCAATCTGAATCGAATGCAATACGATATCGCTTCGTTGTTGGATAAATGGTTTTCTAAACTTTATTAACAAAGACTAGTATTAACTATATCACAACAAAACTATTTTTTTTGTTATATTTCTATTGTTTTGTTATGATTGTATAAGAACTGTTCAATGACTTGAAAATAGTTTGCATTGTTAACTATATTTAGATCACATTTAGGCGGTTCGTTTTTTCAGTTTGATAAAAATAGCCTCGGGATGAATGACACTCAATTCTGTCAGTTGAAAATGTTCTTCAAGTTTATCTCCAGGTAAAACATTATATTGACTTAGAAGACGTGTCAAACATATTTTGAGTTCCATAATTGCGAAACGCATCCCAACACAATTTCTTGGACCATTTCCAAAGGCCATCCATGATATTGGATGACGTTTTGTTAAATGTCGCTCAGGAATAAATTCATTTGGATCTTCAGGACCCCATAGATCAGGACTGAAATGTATACTCAATATATCAGCTTGTATGACACTACCTAAATATAAAAATAAAAACTGACACATGTGTTTTAAACCAATATTGTTTCATATTGGAATTCTCTCAAACCTTCTTCAATCTGGTGACCACATATAGTAGTCGTTTTGTTACATTCTCGTGACGTTGCTTGTATTATAATGGGAAATACTCGAAGTACTTCACGAATAAATATGTCAATATAAGACATATTTGTAACTAGATCGTAATCATCTTCGTAATCTTTTTGATCTAGATGAGCATCAATTTCGGCGATGAGTTTTTCTTGAATATCTGGTTTCTTAGCTAGTATATATGTACAATATGCTAATGTGGTCGATGTCGTTTCATAACCAGCGATCATGAAAATAAGTATATTGCCAACGATTTCATCTGAATGCAAAATTTTTTGTTCTGTATCTTCTTCGATATTTTCCTATAATAATAATTGAATAAAAGAATGTTATCAATTTTGCTGATCAATATTAGACAAACCAGTTTATCTTTTTCATCGGATACTTTTGCATCGATCATCAGTTGTAGCAAATCAACACGTTTTTGCTCATCTGAATGTAATTTACGATAATCAACAATTTCTTGAGCTCGATTAATAATCCAGAATGGAGCCAGTTCTTCCATAAAATAGTTTATAAATGGAAATATCTTGCCAAGTGTTCGAATTATTTTTAGTTGACAAAGAAAGAAAGTGATAAGAAATGGTTTGAGAAATGGCATTACATTACTTAATTGAACAATAAATAATTTATCAAAATTAATATCTACTACATTAGCTGATTTTTTCAAATAAATATTATCAATATCATTTTGCATATCACTTTTAATGCCGAATCCTGAGCGCCCTAAAAACTAAGTAAAATCAGTTACAGAAAAATGTACATGCTTCACTGATAGATTTTTTCATACGAACAATGTTTTTTTCCTACTCACAGATAATATCCATTGTCATACGTTTGTACATATCATAAATATTAAACTCTTGATTGTTTTCACTTAGAATTGATAATTTATTCATTAACGTTTCGATACATTCATTTACAATGGGTAGCATAAGTTTCATTTTACCGAGCGAAAATGTTCGATTCACAACATGTCGTTGACGCCGCCATGTATCTCCTGATGCTCCAAATAGGTTTTCAGGTGTTCCAATGCCCATACGTGCCAAAAATAGAACACGACGCGAATGAAACGAAGAAAATTGTTTGATGTAAACTTCATGAAGAAATTCAACATTGGATACAACATACAAAGGTCGAGTTCCCTCATATAATCCATATATCGATCCATATTTACGTGCCCATTCTTGTAACTGTTTCGAATATCTTTTTGTCGACCATAGAGTTCTCAAGTGACCAAAGAAAAACTGATGCGGTGGTCCTGAAATATTGCGAAGCTTGAAATAATTATAACTATTGTTAATGGTCCATAAATATGTTCCTAAGAGACATATAAGACACGCAAAAAGACAAGCGGTCAGAATCATACTACTATACACTCTACAGAATAGAACAATATAAAAAGAAACACGTTCTTTGATAAGATAATTATTTTTCTAGATGAAAAGTGCAAAAAATCATTTATCTTTAAAGAACAAACATTATCTATCGTACCATAGTCGTATGATCATTGAAATGAATCATTGCTACTTCTTATATATATATAGGTATATTTGCTGAATGCAGCATCTTGAAGTGTGTGAAAACCAAATTTTTGTTCGATTAGTTAACTAAAAGAAATGTACCCATTTGAAGATTACTAAAGAAATCTTGATGAGAAAGCAGTCCATTGTTGTACTATTTTATGTAGTACTACTTTAAGTAGAGATGCTCAAAGCAAAATACGAACAGAAATGAAGCATTTCTTAGAAAGATCTCCTCTCTGAAGATAATTATGAATATTGATCTGGGTTTTAATTCGATTGGATATTGTGAAACTAGTGAATGCCAGATTGACATTGATTAAGAGAAAATCCTTAAATGTAAATGACATTTTCGAATGAAAGACATTAATTTGTAGAGTCTGCCGTGTTCATGTCATTGGCATACAGGTTTTTTTTCCTCATGAAATTTAAGATAAAAAAACAGTCGATGCTATTTGTGGAACATTACATAGAAGTCACAGCGTTTTACAGATGTTATCGTTCGTGAATCATATGCAACTATTGATCCCTTCATTTTTGACTGTCTATTGTCATATGGTAGATAAATACATGTTTATAAATATTGTATTTTGCACATGTCTATGACACTATTATTACACAGTTAAATTACTTGTATATTAGATTCTAAGCAATGTCTATCATCTTCTGAACATATTATTCTTTTTACAAATGGAAGTTAGAGTCTTACCGACTCTCGTGTTGTGGGTATACAATAAGCTGTCTCATTGTTGGTTCATCCGTTTGATTTAAAGGAATATGTTCCATATCGAGCCAATGAAAATAATAAAGAATATCAAGAAAATGTCGGAAGCATACCGTTCGTCGATAATGACTGCAACAAATGTACATATTCTTATTACAATTACCATCTGAAGTATTGTTTGTTGTGAAAGAGAAATAGACTTCTATGACACTGGAGAATTTCCCATATTGCTGTAGAGTGCAACCATAGATTGACCATACAGCAAAGAAAATCATCAAATGGAACACAACCGAACTTCAATTGATTATGAATCAGACTTCGTAATTTCATGATAACATCGCGATTTCTGAAAAACAACATCGAATTCGTCCACAGATACGCGATGGCACATTTTCTTCGCTAAAACTTTCCGCTATCAAAAATAATGTGCATCATGCAGCTGCTTTATTGATGTCCTTTTCTTTGTATTAACATTAATTTACACGATGACTCTTTTGTCAGATTATTTTTATGTGCTGTGATGTTGGTCAGTGTGGATTATGGATGGGTTACCAGAAACAACTGCGTACTTTTAACGTTCTTAAGAACTTTCCGAATTCAATATTTCTACTGTAGATTTCTATGATATTTGCTACTATGTGTTGTTCTTTCTCATGAAGGAAGAAAAAACTTAAACTTTGTCTTACCTCATTACCTATTCAAGCTTCATTCGTTTTTCTTAGGTTTTAGTTGTTGCTAATGTTCGAAGACAAAATAAAATCATTGACGATTTCGTTCTCCTGTAGTTTACAGTTTTTCTAATTCTGCCCATTTTGAACTGTAGGTAGTGGTGAGTTGAATTCGTTGAGGAAAAATCGTTTGACTTCATCTCATGAATCAGGTAGACATTCAGGAATTCGTACATGACAATGTCAGTTGAGAACAAAGTTTCGTAAAAATTGAGAAACATTTTGAGAAAATGTCGCTTTAATTCCATTGATTTATGATTTATAAGAATAGTTGCCGATGTGAGTCAGCAAATGTTCAGATGCTTCTGCTGGTTCAATATTAAACCTAGGAGTGTTAGTGCGAATAGAGTAAAAAATGATTGTTTGTGATGTATTTCGTGTATATTGTTAGCCAGGCTTTATTGTTTGGTCGTTGTTGAAAAGATCATCACTCGATTTTAAGTCTTATGATAGTGGTCACACGAGAGGCAGAAGACATCTCCTATGTGTTGCTTGTCTTGCTATAGAACTCATTCGTACCTCAAAAACGTTCATCGATTCAATTAGTAAGGTCGATAAGTAGTTGTTACTGAATATTATATTGATATTCTTTACAAGTTTTTTTCCTCATAATGTCATCTGCATCTCTGTGATTATTTTAAAGTCAACAAGCTTTTGAACGACTTCGCGAGGATTCTGTCGGTTCGCCATGCTTTTTTTAATATATGCTAATTACACATTACTGACGTAAGATAAACTGATCTATGAGTTCTACTTTGAAAAAGTGTCAATGCACAAATCGAGGAAGATGAAATTATCGATTGATATTTACAAACTCCTTTTAACAATGAAGAAGTTCTCTAACGCTAATTTCAAAATTCTATGAACAAAAAAAAATCTTAAAATAAATTATGCAAATACGCTCTTATTGTCAATAGCTAGAAATAGTTTTAGTTGCTATCTTGAATATATTTCAATAAATCAATCATATCTTAAGAACATTATTGATCGAAGATACTGATAGCAGATTGATGATAAATCAGAGAAAAATTTCAAGAACTTTGCCATATTTTCCATAATTTTTGTGGACTAAAAAACAATTTTTACAAAGAAGAAGACTCTACAGATAAAATGTGATATAGATTAATTTAATAATAATCCTTCAATAAATAAATAAATTCCGTTTTTACTTAAAATTGAAACAAAAAAGAGTTATATATGATTGACTAGATAAAATAGAAGAACCATGTCCTTCTATTCAGTTTTTATGATCCATCTATAAAACGCGAAATAATAGAACATTCATGATCAAATAAATTTATTATGATCGTCGTCGTATTCGTGCCGATGGATTTTCATCTAGAAGAAATAAATTCTTTAGATAAGAACAAAGAAAAACCTAAATATGACATAAACCTTCATCTTTAGCTTGATTTTGTTCTTCAACTGTTAAATTTTCTTCATCATGATGAATTAAAAATGAATCATGTTCACAATAAGAAACAATCGTATCGGCATGATTATTAATTAAATGTCTTAGAACTTTATCTTGAACTCGATTAGCATCGTACCTATCCATTGGATCATAATCAATATTGAAATCAAATTGATAAAGTTGAGCAAGTTCATCATAAGTGAAATGACGAGCAAGTTGTTTAGCATCAACTACACCTATTTAAATAACAAAAATTTACAAAAAAATAAAAATAAAAATGAACTAACGATGAAACATTGCTTGTTTGGTTATTTGTCGTTTATAAAGTTTTTCTTCCATCGTACCTTTGACCATTAAACCTAATGAAATAAAGATCAATAAAAGTTTTTTTTTTATTTATTTTGTTTGATTTTTATTAAAAATGAATAAAAAAACTGACGATAAATAAAGACAGGCTTCGTTTGGCCAAGTCGATATGAACGAAACATGGCTTGAAGATCATGAGCTATATATAAAGATGAAAATATGAATATGAACATTTTTTTATTTGTTGAAAAGAAGACCTGGATTCCAACTAGTATCCAAAATAATAACACGATTAGCAGAAAAAAGATTTACGCCTACACCACCAGCAGTTGTAGAAATTAAAAATAGACGACTACGAATATTCTTAACATCGTTGAATAGTTCAATATAAGCTGCTCTTTCTTTTATTCGAACTTGACCTACAAAATAAATTCTTCTATTTGTTTAAATAGAAAATAAAATGAATCTGACCATCTATTCTAAAATAATCAACACCTTTTTCCCATTTTGATGATGAAGATTGTTCACTCCAATAATGAAGACATTCTTCAATATAATCAAGAGCAATTAAACTTCGAGCAAATATAAGTAATTTGTCACCAATTGATTCACATTCATCCAAAATCGCTTTCATTATTATAAACTTTCCAGATAATTCAAACTAGAAAATAATTATTAAAAGAAAATCATATTTTTTCTTTCTTCATTTTTAATTTACATCGAATTTAGAATTGTTTGGATCGAATATGTTAAACCACCATTGTTGTTTCATCGAATTCAATATATTTTCTTCTGAATTTTGATTCAATATGTTCACAGTTGGTAATGATAAGATATTTTGTATCGATGAAATTTCGTTCATTTCATTATTTTCAACATTAAAATCATCTTCAAATATATTTTCTATTTCAAAATTATTTTCATCTTTGATACGTTTATTATAATATTCAATAAAATATGGTTGAAGTAGCCATGGATGCTAATTAAAAAATAAAATATTTTATAAAGCAATTATTGATAAATAAATAATAAAAACAAACTGTCCAAATCTTCATCAAATATTGATAATCACTAAACAATTTAGTCATATCTAATTCATAAAAGAATAAATATATCAACTTTATATTTATTTTATATTCGAAAATTACCGAGCTTAGCATTCGTAGAATCGATATTCTGATATTTTATATATGTTTCATAAAGTTGACGCTGTATTGGTCGACATTTGATTTTAACAGCTAAAAGGAAATAAATAAATATATTTAATTGAGAAATTAAATGGGATCATTTTTCATTACCATATTCAAATTTCGGTGGTAAAAATGAACGTAAAACATCCAAACCTTGTCGATGTATTATATTCTGTAAACGTCTATTGAGTGCATAGACACGACGTCGCATATTTGCAACATCCTGTTGTGAACTATCTCGATGTTGACCAGATTCGATCGGTATTCGAAATTGATCAGAAAATTCACGATTTGTACCTTAAATAAACATTTCTTTTTTCTAATTAATTTTGATTAAGTTCGATAAATGATAAAACTAACCAAGAAAATGTGGCTTACAAAAATTGACCATAGCAAAATATTCTTTCAAATTATTTTGCATTGGTGTGCCTGTTAACACAATACGACGATGTGTTCGAATTTTATTCAATGTACAAGCGATTGCACTTTTTGGATTTTTACTAAAATTAGAAAATTAAAATTAAAAAAATAGTTTCCTTATTAAATTTACATGATATGTCCTTCATCACAAATGATTAAATCTGGACCAGGACTACGTAAATATTTACCTAAAAAAAAAACAGACAAATAAAAAAATAAATAAATATTATTAAATTGATAATTCAATACGATATTTCTCAATGTTAGCTTGTTCAATCAATGATGGAATTTTCTTGTTAAGTTTGAAATAATTTCTAAAAAGATCATCAGGACTATCATCAATTGAATAGGTTAATTGACGATACATTTCATATCCCATCAATAGAATTCCACCATTTTCGTACCACTAAAAAAAACCCTTAATTTATCAAATAATAAATTATACCGAATACTCACATAATGAACAAAACTCTCTCGATTTTCTTTTCGAATATCATCATTATTGAATAAATATACATTTATTGTCGGTTCAAAATCATATAACCAGCTATGAAATTCATTTTTCCAACTAAAAAAAAGAATACGAAAATCTTCTTTGTTTTTTTTTTAAGAAAAAAATTTCAAATGAAGTTAGATTTTCTAAATAAAATAACAATATATTGATCATACTTAATAGTAGTGTTTATTGGACATAAAATAAGCACTCGATGAATATGCGTCAATGTGGAATATCGAAAAAGTGTGTGAAGAAGTGCAATCGTTGTAAGTGTCTTGCCTAATCCCATACAATGAGCTAAGATAGCACCCGAACCACCTTGATCAAGTTGAGATTTATTGTCAATACTAGCTTCTATTTGACGTGTTGATTCAAAAACTTGATTCCATAAAAATTTAACACCATCAACTAAACAAATAATTATTATTAAAAAATTTGAGAAAAAATAAATAAATAAATTACTTTGATGAGGTTTCATATGAATGACAAGTAATACAGAAACATCAATAATAACATCATTTGTTATTGAATCTGTTTCAAGTACTAATTCAAATTCGATTGCTTGTTCTTGATTATAAGCATCCATTATGTCACCATTATATAATTGCTGTTTTCGAGTACGTTCAATACGAGCAAGTTCTTCTCGATTTTGTCGTAATTTTATACGTTCATCACGTTCAAATTGTTCTTTTACTACTTGTTTAGATTTTTTGTCCCAATATTCATTGAGAATTATTCCTACATGAAAACAAAATGAACGATGTGTACCAAAGAAGAATATCTGTACCTTCACGTGTTCTTTTATGATATTTTTTCTTCATACTACATGTTTCGATGAAATTCGACGAATTTCTATTAAAGAATTTTTTCTTTTTGTTCATTGATTCTAATGGAACCAACTGATTATCATACATATTATAGGGCAACAAAAAATTTGTAGGCGATCGTTGTTGTTTCATTATTATATTGTTGTTCAATATTGTTGATTGTTTAGGTTGATAAGATAGTATTGACCTAAAACCAGTCTTTCAATTCAATTATATATTCAAATAATAAATGAATATTATTTCATTTAAATAATCAATATTTCCTTTCTTGAATAGTTCAACACCATTGTTCGATAGATAAGATGATCAGACAAAAATTTTCTTAGTCTTAATACAACACAAACGATCTTCTTGATATGTAGCATGATTAGAGATGCATCAATGCCAATTCTGGTATTTGTCTTGTAAATCGAATTTGTTGAAATTGATCTTGAAAACATTGGAATTAAATTGTTAATTTACAGTGGCCGTCAAAATTATCCGACCACCTAACACAAAAATTTTGTTCGTTTTATATTTCAGAGACGGAAGTGGTTAGAGACCTGCGACTTTTACCATGTTGTAGCCCATTGTATCTAGTATGTTTATGGTTCGTCTTAGGTCAAAACTTCGTATGATTCATTTTTATTAAAACAAAAAAAAACATATATTGAATTTTTTAAGCGTCAAAATTATCCGACCACTTGTTTTTCCGCGATTTCTACGCGCGCATCTAAATGTAAAATTGTCTTTATAATACATCATTCGACAGAACAAATTGTCCTCTATATGATGAGCTACTTTTTGTTGCATTGGTGTACAGAAAAAGACGGAAAACTACTGTTTTGAGAGCTATTCCAGGTCCGTATGACCAAAAAGCTGTAGGCAGACAATTTTGCCAACTAATTTCCACACC